GGTCAGAGCGAGGCTTCAGATCATCGGCTGCCCTCTCCCCTCCTTGATGGACATTTATTCCTCCCGCTGCCTCAGTAGAGCAGCAAACATCAAGGACAAGCTGCTCAGCCTGCTTAACAGTTTCTTCCCAAAGACCACCACCCTGAAGTCACACAGGCACCAGTAACACACTCCCTCACCCCAGTTTTCCCATTTCCCTCCATCAACCACCACCAAGAAAAGAGAGATCGTGGAGACATTTATCTCTGACCTTCTCATTGCCTCGATCACTGATCTCACTGATGCCATTGTCTCCTGAGGTCTGCAGGATCACCTCATTGTCATTTCCCAGCAAACACTGCATCGTTAACGAGACAGTTATCATCAGATCCTGAATTATTTGTGACAAGCAGAGTCAATCCGTAATTAGCAAATAAAAACCCAGACGTGCGATAGTGCATTGATACTGAAACATAAAAACTGAGTAAATTGGTAATAATTGAAAGATAAAGCTTGTGTTTGTTCATGGGGATAATTACAGACAGAAACAGAGCTGATGGTTTGGGCGTCGCTCGTACAGATGGAGCTAATTAAAGAAGAGATCACAGAACGTGAAGCAGGTCCGAGAGGATGAAAAAGAAAGGAGGGAAGGTTTTGCTTCTTTTTCATAACTGTTGCTGTTTGTCCCAAATCTGCTGGCGTCATTGTTAACGTCCAATCACGTCCAATCACTACAACGCTGCTGCTGCAAGCTGCACACGGACTGAACACAGTTTGAGGAGGAAACAAATGCATGTTGGCTTTAATCAGGACCTGATGACAGAACAAAGAGTTTATCAGAGACGTCAGAGTGTGAACGCACGCGTTTAATCAGACGTCGGAGCAGCTGCCGCCGCCGCTGCGTACCACCCTCCTCCATTCATCCCGAAGAGGCCGTCTGATCTGAAGCCTGCAGTTTGTGTCATTAACAGGCTGCCAGGTAAGTGTTTGTTTTCACTTTGTGGTTTTAACAAAGACAAACAGAAATTTCTTCTTTATGATCAAGAACCCAGCGTGCAAGTGCCAAAGCCTGCACTTCCTCCAATGTCCACTTGGTTGGCTTCAAGACTGAGTCGGTCCCCACAGACCTCGAGCAAGTCCAACTCTGGTGAGGATAAAATGTACCTCCCTCTCTAATTTTTAGCGCTCCATCTAGAAAGCGTCTACAGCACAAACAAATTCACCTCCACTTTCAGCGTTAGGGATGGCCCTACGTGCAGCGGCGTGAGCCACATCATTTCCTTTCTGACTTTTCACTGAGCTTCTAAATCCCGCTGTGTCTGAGTAAAGAAACAAAAGAGAAACAAAGCAGTTGGAAAGTGTCAGGAGGCTCAAAGCCTGCTGCTGACTTCAAGAAAAAGAAAACAGCTGCTTCCTTCTCTGTGCAGAGATATGCAGATGTGGATAAAGAAGGATGACCTGCTGCACGGGAGCAGAAAAAGTTTCAAAGCAGACAAATTTCTAAATGCGATGTGTAGAAATCTACTATTTATTTATAATGTTTATAGTGTTTACTCACACATAAACATAGACTGTTTCTACGACTTCTGAGAGACAAGCTGGAGCTATCAGGAGTGGACCACCACATGTCCCAGTGGATACTGGACTACCTCACAGGACGCCCACAGTATGTGAGGACACAGGGCTGTCTCTGACACGCTGGTCTGCAGTACGGGGGCCCCACACTGTGCTGGCACCGTTCCTCTTCACCCTCTACACTGCAGACTTCTCCATCAACTCCCCACGCTGCCACCTACAGAAGTTCTCTGACGACTGCCATAGTCGCCTCATCACAGGTGAGGACGACTCAGAGTGCAGACAGTGGACTCTGGACTTTGTGGACTGGTGTCAGCAGAACCACCTGCTGATCAACGCCGGGAAAACCAAGGAGCTGGTGGTGGACTTCCGGAGACGCAGACCCACCACACTGACACCGGTGGACATAGTGGACTCTTATAGGTACCTGGGTGCATCCTCGATGCATGAAGGAGCGTTTCTGCAGGTCCTTCCTCCCTGCAGCTGTCAGACTGCACAATCAGAACTGCTCCCAACAAACACAGATGTTTACATCTGTATCTTGCACTATTTTATCAACCGATTCACACTAAACGTGGGTTTGCCTGTTATCTGTATTTAATTTTATTTAATGTAATAACGGTACAGTACTCTGCTTTTGGCAACCATTGTCCTTGATGGAAATATGTAAAAACTGTGTATGTTTCTGTTCTGTGTCTTGTGCACTGTTTGTTACACCCCATCGATTCTACTGATGGGTTGTTGTCGCTAATCTGCCGGGCGGACACACGGCTTTGAACTGGAGAATGGAATCATGTAGGACTTTCAAACTGACAGCACAGGGGCGTCGACCTCAAGGTCAGAGGTCAAGTTTTCTGAAAATGTCTAAGAAACCTGAGGACAAGGTCAGGTAGAACTTTAGAGCAGGTACCACAGGTGTGTTTAGCACGAGGCTGAGGGGAAGCACTGGTCACCAGTAAGTTTGTAAAACAGGCAGCAATAAATTTAAATTACGTAGCTGATTGAATAGCGTTAAGTGTGGAACAGAGATTTATATATATATATTATATTATGTGTGTGTGTGCGTGTGCGTGTGTGTGTGTGTGTGTGTGCGTGTGCGTGTGTGTGTGTGAGATTGGATCTCCTGTGTTTGAGGAGGAAAATGTAATTTAATCATCCTTCTTATTAATCTCTGTCTCTCTTCCACAGCATGTCTTTATCCTGTCTTCCTTCTCTCACCCCAACCAATCACAGCAGATGGCCCCGCCCCTCCCTGAGCCTGGTTCTGCTGGAGGTTTCTTCCTGTTAAAAGGGAGTTTTTCCTTCCCACTGTCGCCAAAGTTTGATTGTTGGGGTGCAGGATCTTTATCTTACGATATAAAGCATCTTGAAGTGACTGTTCCTGTGATTTAAATAAAATTCAACTGAAAGCACGAGACAGAGAATAATATTGATGATTTGAGAAACACTGAATCAAAGTCACATCATTAAAATTTGCATAAGAATATTCTTGTAAATATTTTTATGTTTAGTTATTCGAGTTAAAAGTTACACTGACTTTGGTATAAACACAAACTGGTGTTGGTGAGAGAGATCGCTGTGGTTCAGACGGCTGTTTACTCAGCTCCTCGCCGGAGATTCGTTAGACCAGTTGTTACATCATTTTCACGTTACTCCTTAAAAGGACCACACATGCATTACCACATGATTAACAGTTAGAGGAACAAATTCCACACACCAACACGAATCCCTATCCTAACGAGGACACACGCGATCTTTCTCTTAGTATTTATGTACGAACACAAAGCAAAGACGAAAACCGACCCAGACGCATCAGAGCGCCGCGGTGATTCAGCCGTGGACACACGAACAGGTGCTGACTGCTCGTCGCTGCTTTGTTACCTGCTGCAGCTTTGACAGCACTCTGTGCGTCGGCGCTTTTGCACAGTAACTGTAACAGTAATGTGACGGCTCCGCCGCTCTCCTCCACCAGCACAGACCTGAAATCAGCTGCAGGAAGAAAGCATTCCTGTCCACCCAGTGTGCAGATACCTGAAGAGCCTTTGTAACATGAGTAATTATATAACTGTGACTGTAATGTGATTACTGAATTTACTGCAGTAATGTTACTGAAAACGTTCATGTGATTCATTTAGAGCACTGTCTGTTATTCTCCCTCATTTCCTGTTGTGCACAGTCTGCACCGATCACTCACCGAACAGACGTGATTACATGTGATTACATCACACATCACAATAAAAGCATCTTTCGGTCCTGAACTCTAACTGGAAACGTCAGTCCCACGCTGACTTCCCGGAGCAGCTCTCTCCGTCTCATCTTTCACCCTGTCAGGCCACCTCTGCGCTCCACACGTCGACTGAACGCGTGTCTGAGTCGCTGTCCCGCCTGCTGCTGTCAGCTCTTTTTGATTATTTCTCTGCCGTCAAGGATGCAAGCGAGATCAGGCTCATCTCGTCCTCGCTGGATCTTGGCAGAGGCCTCTCTGCATGTTAAACTCAGTCGGCTGCGTCACAGATTCAATTTGAAAGTTGCACAAACATCTGTGGAACAAACGCCTTCTTCAGGGACCGCTTCAGACCGCAGGGACAACAAACGCACGCCTTTATCCTCCTAAAACTTAAATGTACACCAACTGTGCCGAGCAACCTGGATGACAAAAATATCAGGATTTACAATTTGTGGTGTGATTTACACCAGTGTGTCCTGTTCAGCATCATTTCCTCGTTATACTGCAGCCTGCACCGCGCCTCTCCACTCCTCCTCAGGTACAGAACGTGAAAACTGGATCTGTGGACCGCTGGTCCCTAAAATCTGCAGGAAAGTCTCTGACTGCAGCCCGTTCGCTTTCCTTCCTGCAGCAGCAGCAGTTAAATGAATTCCTGCTCTCCACCTGCAGGCGTTCCTCCATCAGCCCTTCCCACGATGCACCTGTACAGCCTCCAGCTCAGAACCAATCACAGCAGAGGGAAATGAAGCTGCACAAAGCTGGTGTGAAATTCCCTTTAACCGAGGTCTGGGCTTTTTATCTGAATCCCTTTCATCTTGTTTCACAATGACAAAGAACATGTTTTGTCTGAAGGAGGCTCAGAGCTTCCACACAGACAGCAGCCTGCAGCCACACTCCTCATCTCAGAGTCGGTCTCAAATCCTTAAAAACTTCAAACCGGCCAAAGATTCTGATCACGCCCGAAGCGGTTTGATCCGACACTAAATACCCGAAACGTCACGAACGACCAAAAACTAAGCTGAGCTTTGCAAATGTGTGGTCAGAAGAAAAGGAGACAAGGTCCAAAGGCAGAACATGAGACACACATCATCCGCCTGATAAAAATAACTATAATAACCAATAACAACTATTTTAATTCTATTTTGAAAATACAAAATTGAGCACCAGTCAAAAAGGAATATTAATACCAACACTGCACACGGGGCCTTTAAAAGGTTACCAGATGTCAGATTTGCAGTCGTAGCCCTGGTGGCTCAGCACCTCTGGGCTCATGTAGTACGGAGTCCCTGTGAAGGTGGTGGCCAGGTCACATGATCCCATCAGCAGGCAGGAAACACCAAAGTCACCTGGAAACATGAGAAGCATCATCCTGATGACTGATCTGCTGTTAAACTGAATCTGAACATCTAAAGAACCTGCAGAAGGTCCGTGAACACCTGGACCTGCACACGCCAAACACATGCTCTGTGTCACGGTGGGCCGATAACGTCACAGGTACATACATCCCACAGATACTGAACGATCCACAGACCTGCGTGATCCTCACCACGCTTTGCAGAAATCATAAAGAATCAATGAGCTGTCCCACAGGCAGTGAAGGTTTCCGGCACCACGCTTCAGACCCGGTTTCACCCTTTCCTAAGCTTCAGGTTCGGCCTGAATGATTTACCCGCTTCCTTCCAAGTCTTCTGCTTTTTTGTTCTGTCTATAAAGAGCAAAGCTGCATTATTCACCTCCAGCAGCCCTCAAACAGCGACAAAAAGCTCTTCAGAGCTCGACGTGGGAACATCACGCTCTGAGACCACGAAGAGCACCTGAGCCGAGACGTCAGAGGTTTAAATAACTTCTGTAGCAGCAACGGAGCCGCGGAGAGTCAGAGACACTCGGTCGCTCAGCTGTGAAACACACAATGAACATTTAAAGTTGGAGAACGCACTAATCCAATGGAAATGGACCAGAGTGTCCGCTACTGACCCCGACAGCTCCAAAGCAACAGCCAATGAGTGAATGAGCAGATCTGTGGATACAGATCTGGAACTTCTAATTCTACGCTGATGTGTTTGAATATCTGATTAACATAAGGCTGATCGTGACACAGTGAGACGACACCTTTGCTGACAGCTACTGGAAACCACTAACTGTGCCGAACGTAACGCCGCTCACATGACTGCACAGTAGATCTGCAGCGTCTCTGTGGCGTCGGTGCTCCGTGTGTGCAGCTGGTAAACTAAACTCTCACAGAGTTCTGGTTCAAAACTGCAGACGGCAGCAGCAGCAACAATCTGCTGAGTTTACACTCCACACACTCAGCGTAAACCCACTTCCTCCCGCGTTACTACCCACTCGTTAGCTGGAAGCACGCTTCTATTTGCGGCCCTGTTTGTTGTTGTTGCTGTTAGTGAGAGGAAGAAGCCCTTTTAGGCAGCAGACAGTTTTGTAATACACGCACAAACGTGAGGAAAGTACCGCAAGCCTTCGCGGCAGCAGCAGCACAAAGAGGACGCTCACCGATTTTAACGAGGTTTCGTTTCAGGAAGATGTTCTTGGCCTTCAGATCTCGGTGGAGGATCCGCCTGCAGAGAGCAGCACAGCGGATAAAATGCAGGTTGCAGACTGAAGCCACTTCAATCTGCAATCGTTTGTTCTAATATTAACCAGCTACAAATGTTACTGTTTTTGTGACTTTTTGTTGTCACCTAGAATCTCATTAAACCACAAAAACGTGTTTCTACTTAACTACCGAGTGTCAGCAGATAAAACATGTGGAGCAGATTCGCTTCAGAAACAGGACAAACATATAAAGCCAAAGACGACTTTAGAGGAAATAATAGAAAACTCTGCACCTGTCGTGTATGTAGCGAAGGCCGAGCAGGAGCTGGATGAGCCAATCAACGACCTGGCTTTCAGGAAGGCTCCGCCCAGCTCGTCTCACCTCTCCTATCTTACAGTCCAGATCCCGATCCTGAGGGCACAGCGAGGAGGAAGTGATGCGTCACTCATTGACTGAAGTGCATGTGTCATTACACTTCACTCCACAGTAGCAGCTCCTGAGTGGCTCAGGCTTTCGTCTCAGCTTCTGTGTGAAATGAAGGAAGCTTTGACAGCAGACCAGTTTGGGGACGCCTGCAGCCAGAGAGCTTCACTCCAGCAGCTCATTAACGTGTGGCTGAAGCTCCAGCTACAGGTCGGTACTGCTGTTCGCTCTCAGCCTGGCGTGTTCACGTTCTGTCAGACTGATGCAATTAAAAGGAGCCGCACCAACTGCCAGCAGCAGCTAACTGCAGCCCGTCCGCTGATGTGCCGACGATTATAATCAGATTACTGAGATATTAAAGGAAAGTTCAAACGTGACATTTACGTTGCTGTGATTCCAGCTTTGTTTGCTCAGTTCTGGATTTTATAAGACGATGTGATTTCCGTTTTTTTCTTCGTCAAATCAGATTTTTCTGCTCACTCTATCAGGCTGAAGCAATGCCTCAGAGTCGTCCACAGCTCTGCAGGGGATTGTGGGTAATGGGGTGAACAGAAACAGTAGCTCTTAAGATCTCCAAAGGCGCAGCCTGTTCATGCTTAAGTGTGTTGAATTACACTAAATCCTCACAAAAGGCCTAAATATTGTTCAGTCTGTGTGTTTGTAGAACAGAAAACCAGCCGGTTGGCAGCACAGAAGCACGGGAAGCTTCGTGAACTGTTCTGCAGCAGTGATTCAAATCTTCAGGAGATGCTGAAGGAGGCGGGGGAGGAGGGAGAGAGCTGGGTAATGAGGGGGGAGGATCGCCGTCAGGTGACGTAAACGAGCGGGCGAGGGGGATACTCCGAGTGTGGGAGGCAGAGAAAAACACGAGTGGAGATGAAGGCAGCGTGAGAGTCATTAGTGGAGAGGCTGAGTGTGAAGACGGCACCTGGTGTCATCGAGACAGCAGGCGTGAAAGATGGCGTGGAGGGAGGGGCGGGGGGTTCGGTTTCAGGCTGTTGCTTCATTGTGTCTTTATCAGACAGAGGGGCTCTCCACAGGCCCAACGTTCGCTGATGCAAACCTGCAGATCTGCAGCTTTTGTCACGGTTGCTTCATTCTTACTTCCTCATGTGTTGTGACTGAGGTGAGGATGTTTTTGAAGAGCACGGCGGCCCCGGACAAAGAGAGCACTCGGTTTCACTGCAACGTCAAACAAACCAGACATGCAGGTGTAAGAAACGTAAGACAGGGAGGCATTTTAAACCCGATCAGGAACGAACTCTAACAGCTGCGTCGGGCAGGTTGGCTTAAGGCAGCTTGAACTCTGCGCATTACAGAAGGACAGCGAGTTAGCGCAAACCCATGTTCCCGTGGTAGATGACCGAGAGTTTGAACCCACATCAGGCGTGTCTCCCAAAAACAGGCAGTGTTTCAATCAAGCCTCAAGCTCCAAGGCTGAAAATGGGAACCATGCCGGCAGTGGGGGAGAACAGTCAACCCAAGCATGCTTTACCACCACATGTCTCTCTGGGACTTAAAACGCTCATTCAAACAAGCTGGTGTAGTTAGCTACGTTAGCTACTGTGAGTGATCTACATTCAGCTATAAATAAGAAGCAGAAAAGCAAAGCCTGCAGTTCCTCTAACGTCCACTTGAGGCTCCAACAGTGAGGTTCAAACAGGAGCAAACAAAGACTAGTTTCCTCTGGTCACTGCAACTGTTTTAAATCCTTCACATGTTCGTTTTTTAACACTTGATGGTTGCATTATTGGGGGCGTGGCCTCTTTAACTGGCGGCCGACTGTAACTGCTGAACACTGAAGGTCCAACTGAATTTACTGAGATTATTTTTGTTAAGTGAGGTTTTGGATCAAAGGGATTCAGTCTCTCCCTGTGAGTGCTCCTGGTTCCTGTTACCAGGCAGTACTCTGTGATTATGCAGAAGGCGGCTCTCTCCAGGAAGCTGTGGTAGAAGGTCAGTATCGCCGGGTGGTGCAGCTGAGACAGCAGCTGGGCCTCCTGAGTGGCTCTAACCGTCTCGTCGGGTCGAAGGTCACCCAGAGGAATCTGCTTCAGCACCTTCCTAGATGAGAGACACAGGTCAGAGGGACGTTCTGCAGGTGTGAAGCACCTGTTTACTGATGGCGTTCATGATGTTCATGGCAGGGAGCTTTTAGAAATGTTTCAATGTGAACCAGTGCCTTAAAGTTGAAGGATGCACACAGCGTACTGGGTAAGAACTTTGTGGAGCGATGATATTTCTGCAATAAAAACTGGTGGTCACATCCAGAGGGAGAGACTGCTAATGTCAGCACGAAGCTAAAAACTGGAGCAGCGTGGTCTCAAACCGCTCCCCCTCAGGGAGGTAATCAGCTGCTGCTCACCGAGCAGGCCGTCTCTCCAGCTCTTGTTAAATTGGTGAGCAGGTCAGCAGATGAAATGGAGGCTCTGGTTTATTAGCTCCCTGCTCTCACCCCCTCGGCTTCACTTTCTGCTGTGAAGACAGCAGAAACGCAGCACGGGGTCAAAGTGGAAATTCCTCAGTTAAAATACGACCTGCTTACTGTGATTATGTGATTTTACTGGCCCGGACACGTGCAGTAGTAACTTTGGTATCTTAAAATACCAGTAAGACGGTTTATTTTCCACTCGAGGCACCGTTCAAAATTCTTTTATCCCATCTTATTTATCGCATACGAGCCCCTCGTTAAACGTCTGGGTGACTGATGATGTCATCACAGGCAGCTGTGGGTTTGCTGTCAAAGCAAAAAGTCCTGGCCTGAAAACTGAAGGCAGCTTAGAAGCACCAACATCCTCCTGTGATGTCAGAAATAAAACAGTTTTGGCCTGTACGGCGAGTTTTCGGCTTCAGAGCAGCTGTATGGCAGCTTCATGTTGTAACTCATCAGTTTAAACGTCATTAAAATGAGGAGTTACAGCATCATGTTGCAACATGGCACAGCGGTGACTGTGTCCATCCTTTCTGTACAGTCTGTGGGGCTGTAGCAGAGCAGTGGCGGTGTACTTTAGTAAAGCTCCACTCTTGTTCTATCATTTCTTGTTTTCATGTTTTGTTTTTGTCATTTTAATTAATGCAGGAATCAGGTCACATTTCCATTTACCTGTCACATTATTTTTTCCTTTCTTCCTTTTTGAATCTTTTCTCCTGAGAAAAGGCAAAAATTTAAATAAAACAAGAGCGAGCTGTTTGTGAAATGTCATCTTGAACCCGCCTGAACCTTTTAGTTCAGGGAACGGGGGCGTCGTTGTCTCTGCGCCGCAGCTGCAGACTTTCCGCGGTGAAGGAAAACAGCTGGATGCTGTCGATGCTGACGACACATCAGTGATGTGGATGAGCAGAGTGTCAGTCATCATCCAACTGACACACACACTCACACTCAGAGACACACACTTCCATGAATCTGTAATCTCAGAGCTTTGATTCATAAAGCAGAACAGAAGGATCAAAGAGACGTGAGCTCTGATTTCATCCTGCACACGACTGAGGCGAAAAGGCTTTGTGCTGCTTTTCAGTCTTTTGTAGTTTTTTGCCTTTTTGTGCTTTTTGTGGGTTTTTTGTTGCTGCTTTGGTTTTTCTGAATGTCGTGTGCGTCAACTTGGATGAGCTTAGAAACCCTCCCGTGCTGTGATACACTTCACTTCAGTACTTAACGTTTACTCAGGATTATTCCACAGAAACTAAAACAGCAAAGTAAACTTCCGTCTGCACTCTGGTGCTCGTCTTTAACAAAGGTGAGAAATGAACCCAACACACCTTTAACCTGAAATATTTTTAATGCCCAGCAGGGGGCGACTGCTACCAAAAGGCTTCTTGTCCTGTAGAGGTGCATGGTCCTCTGTGACCTCACTAACACTGTGCTGATTTGCATCACATCACACTGGATAACACATGACGTCCACCGATTTGATCTGAAACAAAGTCAGGGCGCGTACATGTTGGGATCATCTTCTCTGTCCCACCAGAAAATTATTCAAAAAGTTCACGACTGATTCGAACGTGCAGCTTGTTAGTTTCCTGTAACAGAAATGCAACAAGTGGGTCTTTACTACGAACTTATTTGAATGTGATCACAGCTGTCAGACGCGGAAGTTAAATCCATCCATGCATCCGCTTCTCTTTTTCAGGGTCGCGGGGCCGCTGGAGCCTATCCCAGCTGTCATAGGGCGAGAGGCGGGGTACACCCTGGACAGGTCGCCATGTCGCAGGGCCAACACACAGACAACCATTCGCACTCACATTCACACCTACGGGCAATTTAGATTAATCGATTAACCTATCCGCACTAACTGCATGACTTTAGATGGTGGGAGGAAGCCGAACAGAACATGCAAACCCGGCCTGATGGTGGAATTGAACTCACCCACATGGAAAAGAGATATATAAATCTTATAAAGTTTGTATCTGTCTTGTGTGAAACTTGTATGAAAAGCATACAAGAGTAAAAACAGATATAAGATCCCTTGAAAAATTATATATTGAAACTTGTATGTTTTGGATACTTACTAAAACAATATATGAAAGTAATGTGAAAGTGGCCACTTTCATGAGTAAATCATATACGTTTTTACTATTTCTTTTCCATATGGGCAGGACCTTCTTGCTGTGCGGCAACAGTGCTCACCACCGTGCCCTAAAACGATCTAGGGGATTTACGGTGGCCCTGAGAGGCCAAACGGACTGCAACTTAAGAAAACACCAGCAATAAGAAAAACGCTGCAAAAGCACACTGGTCCGTCGGCTTATTGTCTCCCCAGAAACACTTCCCTTGTGCATTTGGAAACCTATTTTTTCCTATTTCCGCTTTTGTTTTTTCTGTTTCCTATTTCAGGATATTTGAACGAGATCGCGGATACAAGCGGCAGAAATGAGCTTCCTCCGAAGGGTGGCTGGCCTCTCCCTTAGAGATAGGGTGAGAAGTTCGGCCATCCGGGAGGGGCTCAGAGTAGAGCAGCTGCTGCTCCACATCGAAAGGAGCCAGCTGAGGTGGTTCGGGCATCTGACAAGGATGCCCCCTGGGCGCCCCCTGGGTGAGGTGTTCCAGGCATGTCCCACCGGGAGGAGGCCCCGGGGCAGACCCAGGACACGCTGGAGAGATTATATCTCTCGGCTGGCCTGGGAACGCCTTGGTATTCCCCCGGATAAGCTGGAGGAGGTGGCTGGGGAGAGGGAGGTCTGGGCCTCTTTGCTTAGGCTGCTGCCCCCGCGACCCGGCCTCGGATAAAGCGGATGAAGATGGATGGATATTTGAATCCATTCAGTTTACGCAGACCCACAGGACACTCCCACTGATTTCTGTTAAAGCCGCTGTCTTCAGCTTCATTTTAGAGGGTCACAAATGTGAGCCAACACAGGGGAGAAGCTTCCCGTTCAAAGAACTACCGGCTCAGCGGCGCCGTTACTGCCTTTGATTTCACGTTAAAGCCAAAAGGCTGCTGGGAAATCAAATTCACAGCCTGAATTTATAATTTATGGGCAAAAAAATCTATTTCATTCAGTTCTTTGAGCCCTCACTGTGATGTGCACTGAAAGGGGCTTTTCTTCAGCTGCTCACCAAGCCAGGAGCGCCGACCGTCCGTTGCTATGCAACTACGGAGAAAGGATGTTTGAAGTGCGACGCTCAGATGCTCCTGAGATCGTGTGTTTTTGTTTGGCTGAGAGCAGAGAAACACAAGCTCCGACCCTGAACTGTAAACCAGAACGAGACCAGAGAAGGAAGAAAGGAAGGAAGGAAGGAAGGAAGGAAGGAAGGATTTCAATCAGAAGTCATAGAGAGATTCGCAGTCACTCAAATGAACTCTGACCCTGACAGTCAGCAGGAGACACACCCACCAGCGAGCTACAGTAACATGAAGATGAAGTAGTTCCTTTTATTCGGACTCCACGATTTCCATCTGGTGACATCAAACATGATGTTTGTAATAAAAGCACCAGAGGAACAAAAACTACACCAAAAGGCTCCCGCTGCATTTGAACTCAGGACCTTCTTTCTGTGAGGCAACATTAAGAACAGAAACATGATGTGAGCAAGGTGAGCAGAGGTTACAGAGGCCGAGGGCGGAGCCAGGTGAGATACACAAGCTTACAGCTCAGGGTTCAACCCCAGAGCTGCTGCTCTACCCTCCTCAGTGGAGAGCGTGATCCTCCTGTGTTTGTACTCAGGGGCCACGACTGAGAGCAGGAAGGCTGCCTGAGGGTCATTAGCACCCCCCAAAAAATCACTGGCTGCCCTCTGACACACCTGGAGGCCATCGCCAGATCCTCCTGTCTCAAGTAAACCAGGGCCATCACAGGTGACCCCGCCCCCCACCTGTTTGACCCACTGCTCTCTGGTCTGCGCCTCAGGTCAGTCAGCTGCCACACCTCCAGACTCACTAACAGCTTCTCCCCCGACCCCTGCCCACCAATCTGAGTGACCCTCATCACTCAGGACGCTCACACAGACTCTATTAACTCTTTGTACTGATTTCAAACACTCCTGCTCCTTTCTCCTGCTTTTTTATTTATTCCTGTCGTCTAATATGTCTATTTCACTCCTGCACAGTTGCTGTTGAGCATAATAAATTGTTGGTATAAGAGAACAAATCATTTTGATTGACTTTTCAGACATAAATGATTCAAACACGTCGCCAGGTGAAGCTTCCTCTGGCCTGCTGCGACGTTCCACCTGTCCCTCAGGTGATCGTTTTATCTCAATGCATCCTCCAGCGTCTGAGCCTCTCCGAGAGGCCGCCCAGCTGGCTCCTACAACTTCCTGCTGAAGGGAAAGCTTAACAGGAAGTGGATAAATCAGCACAACAGGAAGTAAGATTTTAGAGCCTCAGCAGGCTGGACGAGCACAGGCAGCAGTTTGAGACATTTGAGCACACTGATCAATCACTCAGACAGATTATGAGTTCACAGGACACGAGAGAAATGATGGGAGTATTATTGGGCTGCTCTAAAAGCTCCCTGAAACGTCTTCAGTTGAACCAAAATGCCACAGCAGGCGTTTTTCTTCTCATTGGCTTCCTGTTAACTGCAGATTTTTTCCACATGTAGTCCTGAATAATCAGGATCATAAC